TTGCCTTGGCACTAGACTTGTCAAAAGTTGTTCCAGTTCAGCTGTGGAGCCAAGAGAAATAAGGCAGAGCCTGAGCTGTCTGTTTGATTTCCCCACTGCCATTATTTGCAGAAATTAGGTGTCCTTGGTGATGGTGGCCCAGGCCCTCCCCACTTTGTGAGGCAGGACCACAGATGTGCACATGATTCCTCTGAGCTGTGCCTCAACACTGAAATCATACAAGAAAGGGAGCACCCATGGCAAATCAAATACATCCAGATTTGGGGACATTGCCTCCCTGCACTCTGACCGGACAAAAACCGTCCTTGTGCTGCCCTTTCCCAAGCCGGGGGATTGTAATATAGCTGCAGATGTAGACATGGCAGTGCTCAGAGCACTTTTGCCATTGCACGCTTTAAGAGATTTGATGTAGAGTCTGTTAAACTTGGCTGGTAATGTGCTTAGACTCTGTGCAGATAAAGTTGCCTTGGTGTGATACCTCTGCGCTCCCCTGACACACACTCTTCAGCTTTGCAAAGTGTGGTTTAAAACAAAAATTTTAAAAATGCAACTTTGGCTGTGCAACCTATGCAGGAAATGTGTATAGAAACCGTCTGCGCAGGAAATACCTACAAAGGGAAGCTGGGGGAGGGAGTGAAGCCGGGCAGACCTGGGTTCTTCTCCCAGTCCGTGTGCAGCTTCCCTTCAACTTCTGTTGGTTGTCTTTGTTTTGCTTCCTAGGCCCCACACGTTACAAATGTCCTTAATGAGGGTTTGTCAGCTTTCCACCACACTGGAGCCTTGTCATGGCTCTTCTCCTCCGAAGCAGAAACCTGCAGCCGTGGCTTAAGCCAAACAGAGCCGGAGCTCAGGAAACCACTGGGCTGTTCTGAAAGCCTGCCTCAGAGGAGAGCCCTAGGTTTCTGAGTTGAACTAGGACTGAATCAGCAATATAAGCATTAAGCTGAATCTCTTTCCTTAGAGGCCTTGTCTCTTCATCTCCCCTATTGCTCCCGAGAAGCTGATGAAGTGAGAGTGCCTCATGGCACTGTCTCCCTCACACCACCGGAGCTCACTGCATGGGGATTTTCAGCCTGGGCTGAAAGGGTACAGGGAAGGAAAGAACAGTGATGTCTGAGGAGCACCCACCAGAGAGGGATCAGGACAGGAGCAGACAGGGTAGGAGATGGGCCAGATAGGGGCACACTGGCCATCACCTCCTTTCTGCCCCACACAGGGACAGCTGTTGGTCCAGGGACAGCTGCTGCTTGACTGACTGCAGCACAGTGTCATGGGGCCATTCCCATGGTGGGTACAGCAGGAAAGGACAAATAGAAGCAAAGGAACTACAGGGGAAAAAAAAGTCAAAAAAAAAAAGCAAAGAAACAGAAAACACAATAACTATCTCCCCCGTGAAAATCTTCACAATTCAGTGTCCTGCTGCAGGGTTATTGCCTCGACTCATCTCACGCATTTGCCAGCAGCAGTTTCTGCTTTCAACAAGTGACTTTGAAATATGCCACCATTTCAAGTGGGAAGGCAGAAAGATGGGAACTGCCTTGTTCCCTTTTCTACTCCGGGTTCAACAGAGGGCTGAGACGCAAAGCACAAAGCAGGGTATCTTCACACCTCCACTTGACCTGGGCCATTCAGCCACAGCAGCCAGGCTGCAGCTTCGCCTTGTACATGGAGATGGCTCTGCCAAACACCCTTCACCTCCCAGCTTGCAGAAATAACACCTTCCTCAGTTCTTTTTCCTCGGTTGATCAGTGTGAAGTGACAGCAGCAAGTGGCTGTGCTTTCACAAGTATGGGCTCCAAGGCTGCTCTAGGAAAAGAGCTTAATCACCTCTTGCATGTCTCTTGAATCAGGGACATCTCTCAAGCCCAGCAGCTTCAAAGACACATCCCCTGCACTCTATCAAAACAACATTCAGAAAGCAGCTTGAATTTCTTCCAGCTGGCCTCATGTTACAGAGATCCCTATCAGCACCTGGGAGGAAAGAATTAGCAAGAAAAACAACCGTCTCTTTAAACTGCTGAGAGAAAAAAAAAAAAAAAAAGTCTAAGAAAATGGCCATGTAAAACACAGATTTAGCCCAATAATGTCCAACCAGTGCAATCTTTTCCTTAAATTGTTTGAGGTAGAAAGCAGCCTAATGGTTGGATTTTCTTGTATCAGCCAGAGACTTTGAACACTAATAGCAGAGCTTTACCAAAGCCAGGTGCTCTTGCACAGGTACTGCCTGTATCACCTCCCTCCTGCCATTTGCAGTGAGCTGGGCCCTCCTAGGCAGAGTGCTAACACGGCAGGAGCATGTGCTGTGGAAGCAGAGGTCAGCAGAGCAGACAGCCCAACACACTGGAGTTTCAAAGGCACCCACATGGCTCTCCTTGCCAACCCAGCCAGCCACCGCCAGGGATTTCTTGTGACTCTTTCCTCAGCAAAGCACCACAGTCGCAGACATTTCCCTTTTAGTGGGAGATGAAGCAGTCGGGCTCAGGGTGAGCAGTGGGAGAGCCTGGAACAGTCAGCTCCCTTAGCAGCAGAGCTTCCCACACTCAAAGCTCTCCCCAATCTCCACGGGTCCCTTTTGTTGTGGTTTGCTGAGCCGCTTCCTCCTGCACAGCTGTCCCACACCCTGCCCAACCCTGCAGCCATCCTCAGCATCGCTCCTTTGGTGCACGGACCGACTCACTGGCACACAAACAACTCCTTTGAAAGAACAGATACCCTCCATTTCAAAGAGCAAAGTCTGCAGCTGGGGAAAACTGGCAGAGGACACAAGCTGAATTTGTTTTCGCTTTGTGCTCCCTGTGGTTCCTCGCACAAAGGGAGGAGAGCCCTGCAGCACGAGATGGGGCTTGGGGACCAGAACTTGGTGCCTTTGCATGTTAGAAATCATTTCCGTTAGCAAGCCTTACAAGTGCTGTCTCTGTTGGATCATCAGCGGATACAAGAGTTGCACTCAATGATCCTTATGTGTCCCAACTTGGATTGTTCTGTGATTCTGTGTTTCTGCATTTGGGATCCCACAGTGCTGTTTTTCTGTCTTTCCTAATACTGTCTCCCCTCAATTCAGACTGCTGATGGGCCCAGCTCCGTGCTGGCTCACCTCCAAGGAGGGCATTATATTATGCCATCACTTCTTGTGCTGTTCTCTTATCTGGCAAATTTTCATTATGATTGAGAAAAAATCGCATCCATCATGGTTATTTAGCTATTACTCACAACTGTCTTCCCTCCCTATACCTAAATACAAAGGTGGATAAACACACAGGCAGATACGAGAATGAAAAGAGAATGAGAGAGAAGGAGCAATTCGTGGTGATTACTGACCCAAATCAAGTCAGAAAGGGTGAGGAATTGCACTGAGCTGCACCAATTTACACCTTCTGAGATACTGACTTGCCCTGGCAGTAAAACATTTCTAATTACCTGAACTCAGCATACTGTCTGCTTGGATTTAGTGTGCAGTTAAGGGAAAATTCACAAGATGCAATTAAAGCAGAACTTACAGACTGATGTTTCAGCTTCTGAGAGTCAAAAAGGTGAGCTTGAGCACATGTAACTTCAGAGACAAACCTGATCTTCCCCTCTTGCTGGGAAGATGCACATAACAACAGTGAGTGGGGCTTTCTTCAATTTGCTCTGTCCTGTGTGTATTTAAGATAACCCTTTTTTCCAGAATTTCATTTAGCTACTCATACCACAAACACAAGGACAGGTGGCCACCAGATCCAACTCAATTCTGTATGCTGGATTTCAAGCTCAGAAATTCATCTGGTTCTAGTAAAACATAGTCTGAAACCTGCCTGATGTTTAACCCAACCAGAGAGTTGTATTAAATTTCTAAGCCTTCCCAATCCTCGCAGGAGATTGAGAAGGCATTTTTAGAAAGGAGTTGATTAGGAGTTTAATTATCAGATATAAAAACCCATTCTGTTGCTGAGGTCTCAGTGGAGAACGGCATTTTTAATGGGAGACTCCAATTCTGTTTGTTTCTTCTTGAAATTCAGCGTCCAGACCTCGGCGGTGCATGCTCGGTCATGGCAATTTGAGCTGTTTTCCCATGGCTTCTTCTCATTCCTCTTCTCATCAGATCTCACTGCCATTAGCTGTGCGGTAGCAGGGCTCAGAACCTCAAGCGTGCCCTGTTCTAAGGAGCTGCTGTTGCACAGAGAGGACAAGCAAGCCGTTCTTCAGGGCCAAGGATGATGGAAGAGGACTTTGAGGCTCCACCACCATTTGCACTTCTGCAGAATGGCACGTCCATGGGCGTGCAGGTGTCCAGGAGCATCAGAGCCACAGCAAAGCCACGGCAAAGGCCTCACCCCGTGTCCTCAAATCCTCTGTCCTTGAAGCTGACACGGTGATCATTTCACCCTCTTCAGAAACACCCGGCTATTTTATCCCTCATGCCACAGTCTGTTAGAGTTGTGTATACCGCCGCATCAAACGCTGTTGCTTCTATTTGCATAACTGTGGCATGGGGATGGCTGGCTGGAAACCAAAAACCACTCCAAATGGCACAGAGGCGACAGCCATCTGTGTCTTTTTCACATTCGGTTTCATTGTTTTAGGATCGGATCCAACCGCTGCAACCTACAGTAACTCTAGACTTGTCAAGCCTCGGAGCTCTCCTTATAGCACGATCTGTGGTTTCACTGTGGAGAAGCAAACCTGGAAAAAAAAACTTGTTGGACTGAATCAGAAGTATTTTAGTTAGTGCAGCAGGGGCTGCCAGTGGTGAAAATAGCACTCCAGAGCATGAATGAACGGAATGGTGTTCCCTTCTGCGCACGTCAGACAATTTGAGCCTCACTCAGCGTTACGGGTGTGCTGGGCAGTGTTCTCTCGAGATGTATTTCCATTGCCACGTCATAAATATAAATGTTCTTTATGAGATACCCGTGGACAGAAGGAATCTAGTGTTTGCTAAAGGTTTTCTTGATGATGTGCATTGAAAGCCTTCCTGTTTGGCATTAATTAACACAATGTACTATGTTGCAATTTTCCAGCACAGACTTATCCAGACTCCTGCTAGGAATTGGAATTGGCATCGAGCAACACCCACGCCTCCACCCAGACCAGAACCCACCAAGATGTCTCTCCCTCAGATGAAGCTCATGTGTCACTCACAACCCATGGCAGAGGACATGCAGGGGCTTGGAGCAGGTACAATTTTTGTCAGTACAAAACCAAGCCATTTCTAACAGACCTGAGACTGGGACCTTCAAGAGGAGCTCTCCCTTGTGTCCCCAGTGCCCAGTGCCTTTGGCTGGGGGCAGTGATACCCTCTTGGTTTGGTGTGTGCTGTGGTATTTCTGATGGCTAGATTCTGCCCTTGCTAACAGCCAAGAGAGAAGGGGATATGTGTGATTTTCCTGCTTGCTTTATCCTTTCTAGAACATCTAGCTATGTCTGAAAAGCATTTGCGGTCAGCCCCAAGCTGCAGGGATAATTTTATGTTGTGCCAACCAAACTGCCAAATGGTGAAAACTTTTGACTCGTGTGTCAGTATTGTTTCAGAGAGCACACCTTAACATAGCTGAATAGCCTCTAAACTACCCAACTTTCTCCTTCTGCTCAGACATCCCACCACAGTTAGGCTGAACCATTCCTTGGCTCCCAAGCTCCCTGTATCGGCCTGAGGGTGATTCTCCCACTGACTCTGGTGCACTCAGCCCTTCCCAGCACCACGCTTTCTGCATCCTCAGGGCTGTTACAGACAGGTCTCTGTGTACCCGTTCATCTTTTTTACACCAGCAGCCTTCCTTCGCATCCATTTCTTTTTTAACACAGAAATACATTTGTTGCAAATAGATGCCAGCAGCTCTCAGTGCCAAGAAGATTCAGTGCTCCTTCTGCTTGCTCTGTTTTCCAGTGAACTGTATCAATTTTTGCTTGTTTCCCCATGACCTTTGGAGCCCATTCAAAGGCATCTTCCTTTTGCTTTGCTTTAAGTTCAATCCCATGCATGTTGCCAGCTGATTTGTTGCCTGTTTTCACACGTCGCCAGCAAATCACCACCTCTTCATATTGTTTAGACAGTCATCAAATGTAGGCCTGCCAGCAGTCTTTGTTAATGGAATAGGAAGTCTTGGTACCTCTCACTCATGTGGCCTGAAAGGAACCAGAAAGCTGTTTGATTCCAGCTGACAAATCTTTAAAGTCCAGTGTGGGACTTTCATGGCCAGAGTAGGGTCACTGAACAAAGACTTTTGGTCTGCTGATATGGATCCAAGTTCTGCCTATCTGTCTCCTGATACAGATCGTGCTTCAGCAGGCTGGAATTTTGTCCTTCAAATTGTGCCAGAGGTTTGGCTTGTGCTAGCTTTGGCTGGAGACAGCTTGTATCGTGGAGCCGGGTGGGTCTTTCCAGCTCCTCTCCTAAGCTGGTCCCAGTTACAGGCAGGTGGGATCGCTGGAAGGTGAGGGGGCTGGTGGCTTGTAGCTCCGTCTATCCTTGCAGCATCAGATCAGCAAGAGCCAGGGTGGACATAGGAGCTCCAGGTAGGGTGCAAAGACCACAGAGCATGCTCAGCTCCAGCACCACACAGCCTGCAAAGTGCTGTTCCCATGCTTGGAAGGCTCCGCCATTTTCACATACTCCTCAGAGAAATATATTAAGGCTGGTTTGTGGTACAGATTAGTTGAATACTGATTGATCCAGGTGGCTCGGTTAAAAGCAAGATTTCTTGTGATTCAAGACTAATTATTTCCTTCCAGAGGACAGTTGGAATGGGAAGATGTAGCATGGTTAACCAAAATCCAGACTCATTTGGGCTCCTTGGGCATCTCCTACTGCATCATTCGGGACCTGAGGTATGTATTTATTTCTGGGAGCACAAACATGGTGCAAAATTATTCAGGCTGTATTTTCTGCATATGGTACATTGAATCCCTAGAGGAAATGGTTTAAAGAGGCATGCTTAGTGGTCAGATAGGACCGATAGTTTTACATAGCACAGTGGGTGCAGTGTACTTCAAAGGTTCCCTGCACCTTTAGGGCTTTCCACTGAGGTTCCTCTTTTTTTTTGGGTACCTTCCCACAAATCACCAGCCATGCAATAGAAAGCTTTACTCAAGCTCAGCAGCAGCACTTGCCGAGGCTTTGCATGTTGCACTGAGATCTGCTCTGCTACCAGCATCCTTGATGCCAAGTCCACCCACATGGCCTCCTGCCACCCAAGGAATGAATTGTGGTGACACCACAGCTGGGGGCTGCAGACAGGAGAGGACAGCCATCACATGGCCCAGGGAACACAGCACAGCCCACCCCCACATTTACAGCGTGCTGCAGGCACATCTCAAGCTCCTTGTGAAAGGCCAAGGAAAAAGGTGCCACCAGACCCTGGGGCCAGAAGGCCAGGCCCATCTCTTGCTATTCCAGTGCCCACATGTGGCCAAGTTCTGAATCTTCTCTTCTTTGCCTTCTCCCATCGAAGCACAGGGCAAGCTTTTTGCAAAGAAAACAAGTGTCCTCTGCTGGCTGCAAATAAAAAATGCATGTGGCGATGCTCTGCCTAGGGATAGCACTGGGTAAGGATGTGTTGTGTGGAGTTTGCATTCTGACTTGTTTTAGAGATGGACAGTAATCCAACCACGAATTGGAGCTAAGCTGGTCACTTGCAGTGCAGACAAAGGAGGGTTGTCAGGTGCCTTTAGGCTGCGTGTACTGGGCAGAGTGCAGCCCTTCTCCATAAGCAGTTCCCCAGTACAGCCTGAATGAGGCATAAGATGGTGGGGGCTGGTAGGGGCAGAGCAGAGAGGGGCAAGAGATTGGAGCTGCCCGAGAGGCAGGGGCAGAGGAGTTCTCCACCAGCATGAAGCACATTTGGGGCAGTCTTTGCAAAAAGGACATGAGAGAAGGGGCCAGCGTGTGCTTGTGCTCTGTGTTTCTGAAATAATCCCTCAGAGATCAATGGGGTTTCACATCTTTTCCCATCTGTTCTTAATCTGTTCACTTGGCAGATGCCAAACCACCATACCCTGTATGGGAAAACACAAAACAAAACACAAAGCCTTCTATCTCTCCTAGTTTTATTCTGAACCATTCTCTGAAGCCCAGCTCTGCCCACACCCCAGCCATGCATGGAGACCCATGGAAGAGCCTGCAGCAGGAACAGCTCTGCCTTCAGCAAGCCCAGAGAAGGGGTTTGTGTCTGATGGAGCAGCTTTGTGTTTATGCAACCCAGTGACTTCAGGCTGGTGATTCTCTTCTGCTGACACCCCTCTGATGCCAAGAATCCTCCACCGACATCTCAGCCCTATTATTCCAAGCACCAGAGGCTTGCACAGCATCAGTCCCAGCCAGGAGATGTGCCGACAGAAGGGATCTGCCTCACAAAAGGGCACAGACCAGCAGTAGGGCCAAGGCAAAGCAGCACGCTGGGCCCCCGGTGACTCCTGCCTTTTGCTCATGCATCCTTTCCTCCTACCTTTACTTCAGAGTTCATCACTGCAAAATCTGCTGAGGACATGAGCAACAGCATTTTAATGGCATCCATGAATACTTTATTTAAGGCAGAGACTCAGTGACTGCAGCACTGTCATTATCAGTGGCTGGACCAAACCATAATAAATAATACAGGATTACTCCCAGCATCTAAAAATATCCTAACCTAAGCTGTTCCCATCCTCATCCCATCAATTGGAAGGGCTGAGTGTTTGCCACAGCTTATACAGTAAATGCAGTTTAACTTTCTTCTTTCCAAATGCTGAAAACTGGCTCTTTTCAGGACGCTTCAATGTAATTTACAGCTGTATTACCAGCTCCTTAATGGTTGCCAGGTTCTCTGGGCTCCTTTGAAATCGAACACGATAAAAAGATGAGAGCCAAAACTGACCACAAGTTTTGTGTCTGCAGGTTCCCATGTGCCTTTCTGGTCTTCTCAGCAAGCTAATGGAAACAATCCTGTAACTTCAAGGCAGAACGATGAGGTTTTAGAATTCCCCTGACTGGTAATGAGAGAGTTGATACAGCTTAACAGCAGGCAAGTGCCAGTGCATCCCTGTGTCTCAGTATTACTGCAAGTCTAAGGTAAGAGGGGGCTGTGAACACCACAGCATGCCCTGCTTTGTTCTGACGCAGCTCTGCACTCCCTTGGACCTATGTCAGTTTAATCAGTGAACACAGCCTGTGCTTCTCCAGCTTGGCAAAGCAGGACTTGGGGTGAAGGAGTTCTCCTCAGCCAACCTGGTGCATTCTGCCAGTGACTCCCAACTCCCTGAAACTTCAAGAGGAAGATCAGCACAGTGAAACACAGTATTTTTAAATGTCCTCACAGCAGTCATCATCATAAAAGCACAAACCTGAGGTTTGTAAAAGTCTAGCAATAAAACCACAGACATCTTTACAGCTCCCAGACATGCAGTGCTCCTCAGCAGCAAGCACAAACCCTCCCAGAAGCAAGGAACAAAACTAACTGGGGAACAGGCCTAATTATTTTACAGCCTAGGAAAAAGGAAAAGAAAAAAGAAAAAAAAGCCACACATGACACCAATTTGCAGGTCAGTACCAGCCACTATCAGGGAAGTGGAAACAAAACCTGTTTGTTTTTTCTCACCTGGAGGCAACAGAGCACTGAGTTGTGTAGAGGCAGAATGCTGCACCTCTAGGCTAGAGTGTGTTTTCAATTCACAGTGCACGCTCAGATCCTGTGCTGTTTTCTGATTGTTTAAACCCATTTTCTTTGCAAAGCAGATTACAGGCATCTGTACTTCCCTAGCTAGCAGTAAGTCTGTTCTGTTCCATGGGAATAGAGATCGTTTCTTTCAAAATGTGAGGCAAGCCCTCCAGCAGTGTAGCTCAGCTTCCCAGTGTGCTCTGGCAGGTTATTTAATATTTCCATGCCTTGAATCTCTCGTCTGCAAAATGAGTGCTGTGTTCCTCCCTCCCTCTGTCCAACAAGGTATAAAGCTCTGCTGGCTGAGCACAGGCACTGGCTGCCCAGGGAGGTGGGGGATCACCATCCCCAGAGGTGGTCAGGAACCATGGGGATGTGGCACTGAGGGACGTGCTCAGTGTGCACGGTGAGGGTGGGCTGGGGGATCGTAAACGTCTTTTCCAGCCTTGATGATGCTATGATTCCATGACCTGAGCTGGTGGTGGGACTGTGCACAGAGCCATGGTGACTCAGTGGGGTGCTGAACACTCAGCAGGGTTACAACACAGTGGTTGGGGGAGGGTTTTCTGGACCCCCTGCTGTAGTTTTGCAGTTCTTCTGCACTTGAATTCACTGAGGTGCAGGCAGGATTTTGTGCTGTCTGCCTGCTTGTACCCTGTGGGGAAGAGAGCATCAGCTCCAGCTCTTGCTGGGATGATGGTACTGATTCAGCTATTGACAGCTCCAGTGCCTCCTCTCTTCCTCTGCCATGGAAATGAACCCATGCGGTAGCAGTGATGGGAAATTACTCAGAGAGAAAAAAAAGCTCTGTGTTAGCCAGGCAAATACTCCAGAATAAACACAGCCTCAGCCTAGTACCGTACAGCTGTCAGGTCCCATTGCAGGAGGTTTCTTGATGCTGATGATTTAACAATTCTCTGGCCCAAGGGTGCATCTCCCACTGAGAATCTGTTCCTCCAGAGCCACTCCATCTCTGACCGGAAAGGAAGCAATCACAGATTTGTGTGTGAATGTATGCAGTGAGACTTACTGCATGGTAACAGCTACAGCACATCCAGCAGATCGGACAGAATGCAGGTGGTTGTGTGTCCATACTGTGCTCCCTGAACACAGGGGTCACTGCCCTTTACCCTGCTGATCTCCAATAGAATGCAATGGGCAGAGCCTGGGCATGCACACACGCATCTGTCAGTCAGTGACTGCTGATAGATTTTGCTGTTGTTGTTTTTGCAAAAGCTTTAAACATGACATGCAGATGTCACAGGTCTTCTTTTGCCCCAGAAAAAAATCCACTTGGTCTTCTGTTAGTGACCCGAGGTTTGGGCTCTGTGTCTTGTGGACTGAATGAGCTCAGCTGGTCGACTGAAGAGCTTTTGGAAAGCAGATTTGGACCCTGATGACACATCTTCTGATTGAAACAGGAGCCCTGGCTCCTGCGAAAGGCCCATGATATAACTGAAAGGTGGGAATTGCTTCACATTGTTAGGAAATGTGCAGTCACCGTCCTGGCTTACATCCACCTGCTGAGTTAGTGCTGAAAAATAATGGATTGTTCAAACGCGTGGTTGGTGGGTGGAGATAAGGAGCCGACCCAGCAAAGGGCTGCTGCCTCCTCGCAGCCACAGCAACGCTTTGCAGCCGGGCAGCAAGTCAGTTCACGCGCACATTGAATGGATAAGGGCAGCGCGCACTCGGCGTTCTGGTCAACGCATGTCAAGCATGCAAAGCCCTTCCGGCCATCCGCTGCTGCAGGGAGCAGTTTGCTCCTTCCAGTGCAAGGCCAGGCAGATCTATTGGAGCCGCTGCTAAAAACTGAAAGCAAACACCGATGCTCACAGCGCCCCGTTAGAGAGCACAGCACCGCTGTGCCAGCAGCGCTGAGCTGCGGGACCGCGTGCCGGCCGTCCCTACCGCACCGCTGCGCGGGGGCCGCTCCGTCCCGTCGCAGAACCGGTGCGGTAGGAAGGGATCTCTAAACCTCACGGAGCAGCTCCCGAACGCGCCACGCACGAGGCGGGGCCCGCCCAGCTCAGGCCGCCGCACGTGGTCCTGCAGCAAACAGCGCAGACACACGGCGCGCGCGCAGGGCGCGGATCCCAGCCTCGCTCTCGGTCGCGCCGCTCAGCCGCGCTTCACGCGGAGGACTTGCGGGAACGCGTGCGCACGTGAGCTGTCGGGAGCCGCTCCGAAAGCGCAGACGGCTTGTACGTGCACGCGTAAGTGCACGTGCCGCCCCCCCCCCCCGCACCAAACGGTGCGCGCGGTGCACGCGCAGCTCGCTCCCGGCGCGCGGAGCGGGCGCGCGCCCTCCCGGCGCGGGCGTGGCCACGGCAACGGCCGCCGGCGGCGCTGACCCGCGTCGCCATAGCGACGGGTCGGGCTGCCGCAACCGCACCTGCGCCTGCGCCGCCGCCCCCGTACCTCTCACCCCCCCCCGAGGCCGGTGGGCGAGCGGCGGCCCCGCGGGGCTCGGCGAGGCGATGAGCGGGTAGCGGCGGTCCGAGGACTCCTCGGAAAGCCGAGAGCAGGTGAGGGGCCGCGGACGAGGAGACGCGGCGCGGCGCGCGTCCCCGCCCGGCCGAGGGGCAGCGGGTCGCCCCGGCGACGCCCGCAGGGGTGGCGGCCCCTCGATGCCGCGGCGCACGGGGAACCGACGGGGGCGGGGCGGGGCCGGGCGGCGGAGGGCCGGGGCGGGGGCGATCTGCATTGCGGGGTTGGGGCGCGCCGGGTGGCCGCGCCGAGCAGGGCCGGGCCGGGGCGGTGCGGACGGATAGGATGCGGCTGCGAACGCGGCGCCGGTCTGCCGTGTAGCTCGCCCGTAGGCGAAGGTAATTGTTGGGAGCGAGGCTCGGCGCTCCGGATCCCGGCGCTCGGGCCGCTTCACGCTTGGCGAACCCTTTGGGGCGCGCCCGTGGCTGCGTGCGGGGGATTCGAGTCCCGGCGCGGTGCCGGCTGCCGACGGAGCGAATGTGGATTCGGCGCAGCTCCGCGCCCTTTGCTTTCCGCCCTCCCCGCGCTCCGCTCGCTGTGTCTGCGCGGTTCCTCCCCGTTCCCTTCCAAAAAGACGGAGGTCTCCCGAGCGGCCCGGAGCTGCGTGCAGTCCTCAGCCCCTTCCTTGCTGAGGTCTTTGTCGCTGAGTTTAATTGCGTTCCTTAAAGCTGCGCCCTTTATTTCAGATCCCAGGTAGAACTGCACGCTTTTAGGGCTTTCAGACCAATTTTTTTTAATGCGTTTTATCATTTCACGGACAAAAATCAACCTGCGGTGTGTGCTCGAAGGCTGCAGGTATTGAGGGCAATGTGTTCATTCGGGTCTGCTGCGTTATTGGGTTTTCTAACAGCAGAACAAAAACTCCCCGGCGCTGTTATTCCAGAACCTGGGGCGTAATGCACACCAAAATATGTCCTGAGCGTTACAAGCAGTGTATAGAAGATACACAGTTGCAGTGATCGAGTTTGAAGCTTTACTTCCAGTACTATTGGGCTCCAGTGCTAAGCAGCAAAATATTCAAGGATTGCTTTTGTATCCTTGAGTTCGGCAGTGCCTTGCGATGCTCCTTGGGTAAAGGGAACGTTTACGTAATTCACCCCTTTGGTCAAGTTCCCGTCTCACCTCATTTCTCACAGTAAGGAGAGAAAGGAATGTAACCAGTGGCGCTGGCTTGGCACAGAGAACTGATAGCTTCATTTGTCTGCAGCGTTCCAATGCTTACCAATGGCTCGCAGGTGACAGCAGCTAACACCGAGGGGCTTTTATGAGCCTCAGTTCACTGAAAGACCAGCGTATGGGATCTGTGTCTGAAGGAGATGGTTGTGCTCTGGCCGGACACAGCACTGATTGTCGGTTTGTTGCTGCCGTGGTTTGAAAAACAAACAGAAAGGGAAGGCTGAAGGACTTTGGTGCTGAAAAAGGCAGTGGCACGAGGCTGGGCTCTGTGCGGCCTGGTTCACGGTGCTTTGCTGCAGAACGCAGCGAACCGCTGTGTGCACGGAGCTGCTGCGAAACAGAGCAGCATGGAGAGCAGGTTGTGTGCCTGTGTGCCTTCTGCAGTGCTGCCAGCCGTGGCGGGGTGCTGCAGTGAGCTGTGCTGGCTGAGCTGCGCTGCCCGGAGCTGCAGTGCTGTTGGCCACAGCCTGCCCTGAGTGCACGGTGCTGCACTGCCAAGCCGGCAGCGATGTGGGACGTGCTCCTGTATGGGTGCTGGAGGCTGTGCTTCACTATGGTTGCTTCGCTTGTTGGTAGGAGCCAGCCTCCCTGATACATTTGTGTTGTCTACAGTGAACGGGTGCCTCGTTTGTCTCTGTGTTCATTTTTTAATGATTTGGTTCTCTAACAGCAGAACAAAAACTCCCCAGTGCTGTTATTCCAGAACCTGGGAAGTGTTGTCTTGCTGTAAGTGAGGGCATCCAGCAGTGCTACAATGGGTGTTGGTCAGGATCTGTGTGATCAGTGAATAACTTTGGTGATGCTTTCCCAGCTCATTTCTCCTGGGGGTGTTAAAAGGGGTGATAATAGAAATGGGAGCAGTACCTTGGTTTGCTGCTAGAAGCGTCCATCTGTGTGGGAAGAATACATGAATTGTGTCAGCAGTGGCAGGGCTCCTTGATGATGGAGGTGTGCATGCTTCTCACGTGTTTGATTGCTCCTTGCTCCTCTTGAAGGTGCAGTGGAGCTCTGTATGGTTTTTTATTCTCCTGGATCCTTGTGAGGGCATCAGGTGCCCACATCTGTAACTGTCTCGGTGTTCTGTGTGTGCAGTCAGACTTGGTATCCTTGCTTACAGGTGGGTGCACACACAAGTAATCACTGCCACTGCATTCCCTGCAGCAGCTCTCAAACCTTTGCTGCAGCCCATTTTCACGTTCCGTTGTTGTTCTAAGGCCGTGGCTGTGCAGTGCATGGCATGCTGAGGGCAGGGCCGTGTGCGGGTCTGAGAGCCTGGCTGTGGGAAGTAGTGCCTGGTGAGAGGGGCTCCATCCAGTGCACAGAGCACTGAGGGGTGACTGTAAATCTGAACTTGTGCAATAGGAGGGAATGGGGCTGTGCTACTGCTGGGGCTGCATCAGTAGGAAAATTGTGGCATAGGGCTGGCTGTAGGGGGCAAAGCAAATGCCTGTGCAGGATAGCAGAGCTTGAGCTGACTGTGGAGAGAGAGACTGCGTGGTTTCCTTCAGGACGTCCTTTGAAATAAGCTGAACAAACACTATTGGGATGGCATAAGTGTGTGGAGATGGGAGAGCTGATCTAAGCAAAGAACAGCTAAGTGTCTGTTGGTTGGCGTTTTGTTGTTAGGGATACATTTAGGAATGTTTGGTCAGTTCAATATAAGGTTCTTCCAAGAGAACTTATGTCCTTAATTGGTTCTGGAGGTTGTGTTTTGTGCTGCGTACAGAAAGCGTTCTGGCAGCTTTTGTCACGTTCCAAGGGAGCGATGGCTGGGTAGCAGTGGAGAGGAAGATCACAGCCTGCCCGTATCTGCTGGCAGGGAGCTGAGGTGGCTTCCAGGTGACAGTCACCCCGTCTGGTTTGTGCAGTGGATACCAAGCGGGTGGCTTTAATAACTACAGTCACTTGGGCTTCGTTCCGGTGGTTTCCTTTAGGCTGTGTCTAAAACCATAGATGAGCATCTTCTGGCCCTTCCCTTGCAGTGGGGCGTAGGTGTGCTCTGACCTTGTGCCCAGCACCGACCACAGCCCTAAAATAACACTCACTTCACTGATGTACTTGGAACTCCATCCATGTGCCTACGATCAGAAAAGGCCCACAGCCTGCTTGGCTTCTGCAAGGCAAGATTTGTCTGTTGAAAAGCTAGCAGTTGTTTGTGATGAGCGTGTGATGAAGTTGGGCCTTGGAGTCTCTTGTTCACAGGCTTAATCTGAGCTGCCTCCAGATCTACATCTGCAGCTATAGCTAGAGATGTTTTGTGATGGTTGCAATGCTGGGAAATGAGAAATAGTGCATGTGCAAGGATGGAATGCAGCATACCATACAAATAAAGCTTGGGAAGCGGGCTTTGGTGCTGGCCTCACTTTGTAAGGAGAGGGCTGTGTTACTGTTGTGGTGTCAGACAGCGCTCTGCCCCTTTTAATGCTTTGTCATCTTTATCCAATGACACATGCATCCCTGGCTGCTGTTTGCCAGGTAGGGTTGGTGGCTCAATGTGGTAGTTCTGCACCATGTGATACTTTCTGTATAAGAACATCATAAAATAAATGAAAAAGCACTGAAGAGGAAGGAGGAAAAACCATGGTGACAGAGCTGTTCTGTGGTGTATGCAGTCACAGCTTTCTTTCCAGCATTGGCTTAATCTGTGTGATGAAATCCAGCCAGGAGTTGGTTGCTTTGAAATCTGTCCCACTGATTTCCATGGTGAGGGTGAAGATTGCTCATCTGGGCTGCTAAGGACTTGGCTGACACCTGCATTTTTACTCCTTAAATTCACTTCTTGATTGTAGCCAGTGCACATTCACTACGATTTGGAAGAGCAGGAGTTTATTGCAATCCTGAAACTGCATTATAGCAGTCCCTGTTAGCACGGTGTTTCATGGAGGGGACACCAGCAGTGTTCCATCTGTGGAGCTCCTGCTCTGGGTGTGCTGGGTATGGCCATGCTGAGGACCATTCCCTCCTAGGTCAGCCGGGCTGCTGGCCTGTTTCACTGTGCATCCTGCCTCTGTCTCCAGTCATCCTGTGTCCAATTTGGCTGTATTATTTGTAGGGCACATGATGCCATTCTAGGAAGAGGAGTATTTTCTCAGTAGCTGGCTTCTGCTTTGTTAGTTTGGCCTGCTCTCTAGTTAGGTACTGGCTACAAAGTTCCTATGGGGGAAAAATAAGAGGTGGGGAAAACGCATGTGATGCACTGGTGTGTGAGAACTGTGCAGACTGTGGTGTGAGTGCTTCTGCAGCTTAGAAGGAAATTGCTAGTGCACGAATGAGGGAGGAAAAGCACTGGAGCTGCTGTTCATGAATGCTGTGCTGTGGCTGCACCACGGGGCACTTCCCTTCCACATCACCTCTGCCATGGCTGCGGGCGGCCTGGGGGAATGCCAGCCCTGTGATCTCCATCAGGAGGGATGGAGGGACTGCTTACAGAGGGGCTGCAGCTGAAACTCATCAGAGCGGATTGGTTTAATTGCACTCACTGATTAACTTACCAGTGCTGCAGGGGAAATGATGCTCTGGTGCTGATCGTTTTTATCTTCTGCCTTCGCCAGTAAAGCTAGCCTGCCTCTGATTATTTTCCTTCGGACTAGGTAATCCTGGTGTGGTCTTTAAAATGCAAGAAACCAAACTGAAAATGGAAAAATAGATGAAGAGATTAACAGTGACAGTCTGTTTTGCTTTTTCTCACATTGGAAGTTAAAAGGTTAAAAATAAGTGTATTTTTGAGGAGTCGAGTTGTAAATACTTCTCATTTTTGTTTGTTGCTAGGGATGAATTTGTTGTCTGTTGAGGTGACAGAGACACCAAACCTGGCAATGCTGAGTAACCACTGGTAGTGAAGGTTTCAGAGTGCCACATATAGGCTGCTTGGTTACTTATCGCTGCTGCTGCTCAGTGTTTGTCAGGAAATACATTTGATAAACATCCCTTTGAGCCTTGGTGTTCTGTGCACTCTCAGCTCCTGCCCTGCTGATGGCACGCGCTCTGAAGCTGGTTCTGTCCTGCTGTCACACTCATTTCCATGGGATTGGGAAGGCTGCGTGCAGATATGTTTGTGTCAAGACTTACAGCCCTGATAAAACATCAAAAGTTCCTTTTGTAATGGAAGATGTACAGTTAAAGCAGGGCTGTGTTATCTTTATAAATGACAGAAGCGTGTTGCTTTCTCAGGGTGTGTGTTCTACTTATTTTAAATGTGTAGAATGAAATTTGTGTCTTACAACTACACACCACAAAGAGCACAATGGAAAACATTTTACGTACCAATATGAACCAATTAAGGTTGTCTGTGTCTCCTGCCAGGGAACAGAATTAAGATATGTCTCTTGCACAGCATGGGGTTCCACAGCTGTACACGGTTGTCCAGGCAGTGAGAATCTCTGTAATCTAAATTATACAACTGCTTTTACAGAACTTAGATAACTTAAATAACCGAATAGGGCCTTAGTAGTGACATGGCAAAGCAAAGCATCAGCTGTGCTGAACCCAGCATTGTCTCCTGTCTCCTTGCTGGATGCCGTGGCTCCCGGCAGCACTCAGTATCACCGGCTGCTCCCACAGACCTGTCCTTGCTGCTGCTGTGCTGCGTGCTGCCCTGGGGAGGATGGCATTTCTCCCCCCGATGGCTGTGAGATTCCCATCCATTATGTGCTGCTGCCCATCGCTCTGGCTCTCCAGAACTTGCCCGTTCTGCAAGTTTACTATTTAAATGACATGTTCTGCTTGGCCCCCATCTTACTCACTGTGTCACTGCGGCCTGTGTGCCAGGCTCTGGTGGCGTGGGGACTGCACTAGTGCTGGCTGGAGCACAGTGAGGAAATGCAATAGCAGGCAGCAGCAGCCAGAGAGCTCTCCTCCCAGTGCAGTGTGCGTGGCTGCACTCAGCTGCATTAAGGATCCCTTGTTTTGTATTTCTCTGTAGTGACGGTGCAATTTAGTCCTTTCTCCTGTGTTATTGTCCAGGGATGTTTCTAATTCCTGTATCCCCGGAGGTAAATGGAAAACCCCCAGCTAGACACAGGCATTATGGCCCGTTTCTCAGAACTCTACTTTTATCTTATAACAGGATTAGTGACTTTGTCTGAAGTTAATCCTTTAAATGTGTTAACTCCAAGAAAATGAGTTCCCTATGCTGCTCTGGCCTAGAGTTAAATTAGGCTGTCTGAAATGAGAGTACTTCCAATTGAAATAGCATGAAACAGGAAAACCTTTCACTTTTGAGGCACTTGCTTGGTTACATATTAATTCATTAACAGTATAATTCAGCTGTTTGTCTTGAACCAGGTTGCAGAGTGAGAATCTTTCTATCTATCTGCAAGTGAAGTCATTGATACAATTCTACCTCTTGTTCACTGGCAGAGTAACTGCATGCCAGGATGGCAACTTCAAACCTGGAGAATCAGCTGCACAGTGCCCAGAAGAACCTCTTGTTTCTCCAGAGAGAACACGCCAGCACCCTGAAGGGCCTGCATGCCGAGATCCGGCGCCTGCAGCAGCACTGCACAGGTAGCTGGCAGGGTGCTGGGTGGCTGCTTGCCTCTTCTCACAAGGATGGGGGAACTGCTGTAGAGCCCATCACAGTGTATCTTTTGGGTTTATGTATCTCAGGGCATGACAAGTGTGATCGTTAAGCAGTGATTTTATTATTATTATTTTTAAAAAATAAAAGCCTGTTACCTTCTTGTTCTGGTTGCTTAAGATTTGATAACTGGCAGTGCATCTCCTGTTATTTTAAAGGTGCTTACTGAGTGGCTTATATGTTGCTGTCCTAAAAAAAGTAACTATTTATTTCCCTCAGACCTAACCTATGAGCTGACTGTGAAGAGTTCAGACTTGTCAGGTAAGGAATACATAGCATTTTTCTTTGATGTTCACATTAAATTGCCTCATGTTTTTTAATGTTTTATTTTGTCTGTTACAAGTAGGTGAGAATACTTTGCATATGGGATATTGTTGGCTATAAATTCCAATGGTGTAAGAGTAGCTTTCTCCTTTTCAGAATCATTGTTATTGATGAAGTAAATGTCATAAGTGTCAAATATTTACAGGCTGGTTAGGCCTGGTTCCAAGGCTAATGGGGGGGGGGGGGGCCCCACAACCCAGAGGGGAAAGGGTAGGGAGATGGGCCTAAAAAGATGGAGATGGGCTTCTTATTGGAGAAATTCAGGCTGCACATCTCTTCTGAGCAGCTGGGAAAGTGTCCAGCTGTAATAACTAAAGACATCATCCTATGGTGGGGTCAGCCTGTCCCTGAGGGCATGTCCTCACCAGTGCAGGATCCCCTAGCTTGAGTGATGCATAGCGTTCTTGTGAAGAGAAGGCAGGCAGGCTCAGACACCTGAGCCCCAGAGTGACTTCTACAGCAGCAAGGAGAACCCACTCTGCCTCCAGAGTCACAGGCTTCAGCCATCTGTGAATGGCCAAAGCTAAAGCTTCAGCCTCTCTTGGTAAGCTGAGACAGCTGTTCCATCATGCTTACCAGCCACCTGGCATTAACTGGGGGAGAAGTTCTTCTTAATGACCAGAAAATTTGCAAGATAGCTCCAATCTGGAGCAAGTTCTGCTAGAGTAATTTCTGTAATCCCTGTTCTCAATGCATGAAGCATCTTTTAAACTATAGTGAGTGGCACTAACTCCTCACCTTTTCCAGTAAAAGCCATCCTGCTGCTTCTGAAGATGAAGCAGTTGCTACAGTATTGGCAGAGGTTGGTCTTTGGGCTCTTCTATGGCTTTGGAATGCCAAAAAGAACCCTGCTGCAGCATTTTTCTTAGTGGCTATCGTTAACCTGGAAATGCTTCTGCTTTTCCTGTTCTTCTAGGAAGCATTAGTTCAAGAAGTGATGAACTCAAAAGAAAGTGCGAAGATCTTGAAGCTCAGCTGAAAGCCAAAGAGGCTGAAAACAATGAATTATTGAAAGAACTTGAACAAAAGAATGCAATGATAATGGTGCTGGAAAACACCATTAAAGAAAGAGAAAAGAAGTATTTGGAAGAGTTGAAAATGAAAAGCCATAAGCTCAATATGCTGTCCAGTGAACTAGAGCAGAGAGCAAGCACGATCGCTTATCTAACTTCTCAACTGCACGCTACTAAGAAGAAGCTGCTGAGTTCAAGCGGGACTTCGGAGGGGACCCCTTCAGGCAGTCCAGTGTTGTCCAGCTATAAGCCAGCCCCTCCCAAAGACAAACTGCCCGAGACTCCACGGCGCAGAATGAAGAAGAGTTTGTCAACACCGCTCAACCCGGAGTTCGAAGAGGCCTACAGAATAGGGTCGGATAGTCGGAAGCTGCTGCTAAGGGAGCACGTGGATGCCATGCCTGATCCCACTCCGTTTCTGTTGGCCAGAGAAACGTCGGAGGTCCACCTCGTTAAGGAGAGGCCGCTGGTTATTCCACCCATCGCTTCGGATCGAGCAGCCGGCGAATCGCACAGCCCAGCGCGAGAGAAGCCGCACAAGGCGCACGTCGGAGTGGCGCATCGCATCCACCACGCTGCGCCCCCCCAGCCTCAGGCAGAGGTTGAAACGCTGGCGGTGGATCAGGTCAACGGAAGCAAGGTGGTCAGAAAGCACTCAGGGACGGACAGAACTGTTTGAGTCAAATCACTGCTGCCCTGTTCTGTCGCTGTTTATGCACTGTGATCCCATAGGATAAATAGCACCTGCAGTAAAGTTTCTTTCGATGCCCCATGCATGCCAAACTTCTTCCAGATACATCATTAATAGATTATCCTCCTCTATTGATACCTACTAGGACTGTGTTCATATGGCAAGGTATATAACTACTAAATGCTGTGGCCAAATCAGGGGTACCTGACTGCTTGCTTCTGAGCACTGCTCCATTTATTGTATCTACACGTGTGGACAAAGGCACATGCTGCAGGCTGTGTTATTAATATTAGTGAAAACAAGCCTATTAACCTGCAGCAATAGGTATTGGCTGTTAGCATTTGAAATAGCAATGGTTCTTTTGTCTTCACTGTGTATGTAGCACTTCATACACAAACATTAACTTTCATGACAAAGCCTTCCTCACGGTAGCATTGAAAATCCATGGGCTGTACATACACTTCAAAACAAACTAAGGACTTTTTTCCTTCAAATGCTCTCAGTTGTGAACTGTGTTCATAGTTTCTCAAAGTCCTGAGAGTCCCAGTAAGCATTGTTTAGTCCTAAATAACTTGGTTTGTGGCTTTAAGTAAAAAATGAGGAAGAAACATGGAAAAATCACTGTCTTCAATGGTTAATGGTCCTCTCAGAAGGAGTATGAACATGTTTTTGTTTGTTTTTTTAAACTGAACGCCCTCAATGCACATTTTACACTAGTCAGTGAGTACACTGCACTTGTGGCACCTTCCATACTGGCTCAGAGCTCCTTTTTTTCAGGGAGAAAATGTACCCGACTGTCCTGTATGAGAATGGTTCTTTATGCTCTAACCTGCACTTTTTTTATAAAGATTGCTTTTTGTGTTTTGTTTTGTTTTTTTCTTGAAAAGTTTAGACTTATTCAGGGTATCAATGGTCAGTTCTGACTTCTAATAGCTTAGAAGCCTGAGCTGTGCCTCTAACATGTGTGTACTCAGTTTTAAATGTAACTGACTTACCCACTTCTTACAAGAGGAGAACCTGGCATCCTTGACTTCTATCCAAGTCACTTGGGATGCACCTGCCTTGTACTTGTCCTGGTTCCCCTGTCTAGTTAGCAACAGGTAGACCCTGCATCTGTTGTTAGACTACTTGATTTTTGTTTCTTCTTTTTGTTCTTTTTTCTAGGAAAGAAAGGCATACTGAGAGCTGTGTATGTAATTTTTGGAAAGGAGTTTTTCTTAAATTCTGATCAGCACCTCCAGCTTGCCTCTGCTTCACTCTTGTCTGCAGCCTCTGAGTAGGACCAGCAAGAAAAAACGGCTCCCAAATGCTGCTAAGCTTATGATGTGCCTTCAAAAATTTGGAACACGTAACCTTTGTAAAAGCTGATGAAGGATCCCTGCCTGCCCTCTTTCCTTCCCCTTGCCAGCTGTAATTTGCCCCTCCAGCTTTTTTTCTGCAGCTGTGTGTTGGTGTGTTTCCCTCTGGAGCCTTGGGTAACTATCTGTCAGCTTTCTCCCTCCTCCCCCCCAAAAAAGGCACTGACAGGATGAAAAAAGCTGTTCTTCCTACCTGTGGTACTGCTAACTTCCTTGTGCAGCATGCAAACTTACAGCAGGGTTGGTCCCAGTCAGAGAGGATTGGAATGTCCACTGACCTGAAGGCTTCCTGTGCCCTGTCCCTGTGCACCCTCACAGCTCAGGCACTTGCTAGTTTGAGAAGCCCAAGAAATGCTTGTCAGCGTTGTGCCTTGCCAGCCGTGTGCTAGGATTTGTTTCATGAACTGTGGGGAGGGACAGGCAAAAGCTCTGTTCCTGCAAAATTGGCTAAAGAAAGTTTGTTATCCTGGAGTGCTCAGTGTATTGTATTTACCAGCAGTGTTTTCGGTTTGGGGATTTTTTTGGTGGTTGTTGCCATATTTTTATGGCTGTTGTATGAGTGAGCTACCCTGCCACTTGTTCAAGGCTGATGGAAGGCATCGCTTCCAAACCCAGCAGAAGTGATGCTTTGGGCAATTAAAAACATTTCTTACAACCATACAGCCAAACCTTAGTCTTTGTGTCTGCGAGGCTACCTTACTACATCGTTCCCATATATGTATGTATTTTTCCCATATATATACACACATATACGTACACGTATATATATATATATATATATACACACATACCAGTTTGAAGTGTTTCTAACAGGAAATACAAATGATAAAACTCTTCATTTTTAGAAGTGTTTATTGATACCATTAGCTCACAGTTGTACTACTGGAAGTCAGGTGTGCCTAATGGGACCCCACCTTGGGGCTCAGTCTTGGCCTCTTTTTCTTTCTTCCCCTCTCTCACACGGGGGATGCTGTGAGGATAACGCAGTGCCTAACTGCAAACTGTCAGTCTGCATTCAAAGTGAGACAAACGCCTTGAAGCACCCAGTGGGAAATGTGCTTTGTGGTATAAAGATCAGCTTCAAAAACAAGGCCAACACCCATGGCGTTCCTTCTCTGGGAGGTGGTGTACACCGGTGTCCGGAGGGTGTTCTAAAGAGGAAAAGAGGCACTGAGTGGTGCTCCAAGCACTGCGTGAAAGTGGAAGCCAGAGGGGTGTCTATAAGAGATGGTTGTCTTCAGAAATTCGCTCTGAGGACTGAGGAGAAACTTTATGCTGCACGTTTTACACGCTGAAGGCAATAGTGGCGCTGCTTGTGCTAAGAGCAAAAGGACCAGCAGCTACTGAGATTTAAAACAGGAGGAAGTTGATCAGCAAATCTATCCCTGTCCCCAGTGGAAAGGTACCTGGAGTTTGAGCCTGTGTGCTTCAGTGGGTATTATCTTCAGGATGGGTAACTCCACCACCAGCACCCCGGGCTTGCTTTTTGTTAGGCAGCTGTTCTCCGTGTCCCAGTCTGCCCCTTCCAGAAACAGGCCAGAAACAAAGCAGCCTGCAAAGGCAGAAATGTAACATCTTGTGTAAATCAAGCTGCTACGGCAGCGTAAGGCAACTGTTCCTGCAGCAGCTGTCCTGTCCTCAGCACCTACACAGTAAGGACAGAACTCACAAACTGCACCTGCAGGGAGGCATGTCACTGACCTGTGGTGTTTGTTCTTAGCTGCAAGCTCTGCCTTTAAGACAAATTTCCAATTGAAATTGGCTTAGCTGCATTATGTATGATAAACAGCATTAGGACTAAATACTGATTTTCTTGCAGCTTTCTTTCCTACAGTGGATGCTGTTCTTCCAGTCATTTGCTTGTGTAACAGCCCAGTTCTGAGCAAGCTTTGTCACTCTGATGGTGACATCATGCCAACAAAAGGTGGAGGTTTGAATGTTAGCAAATACAGAAAAGAAAGGGATTTGTTATTAATTGAAAGCTGTGTTTGGAAACGGAGGGGGAAAGCATCTCTGTTTTCATCAGTCAGGTCTAACACTCAGAGATGCTAATCTGGCCCTATATCCTGTGTGTGTTGTATTTAGTCATTAGAACATTGTGAGCCATCAAAACTTCAAGGATATCTTTACATAGTAAGTAACACATAGCTGTATGTTTACATACATAGCTTTTTGTTTACATAGATTATTTGCACTGTAGGTGTATCTTTAAAAATTTGCTAGGATGAAGTAGTATTTTCCTTATTAAGAAAATGCATATGGAGAAAAGAGCAAAGTAAGTTGAAGAAATACTTGAACGTGTGTGTGAAAAAGCTGGAGAAAGAATGAAGCGTTCAGTTTACAGCAGCTCAGCAGCAAAGCAGGAACCTGAACCTGGCCCATTCCCAGCTCATAACCACGTGGACTGTTAAATGGCATGACTGCATGCGTTGTCTGCAGAGGTATAATCAAATTAATTCCACTCAGCAGGCCAAGCAGTTTCTCTTTCTCCCCTCCGGCCTCAATTAACTTTTTTTTTTCCCCTCAAATAATCATAAAGTCACCTACCTTGTGTAGGCCCTTCAGTGATGTCTTCTGCAGTCCTGTATTTGGTCACCTCGGTGTACAGGGTGGAGTGATCCAGGGGCCACCTGTTTTTCCTGCAGGTGGCTTGAACAAGAGCTGTCAGGTAAGATTCTGGAATGTGCAGGCCTGAGAGCCACATCACCTTTGGTTCACAGTCATTAACCTGCAATCAGGAACAGAAGACAGCCTGCAGTGCTTGCTCTGTTCTCCCACCAAACCTCCTCCTCAGCTCAGAGACCAATCTTAAAGGTTAGCCAGTGGCTTCATTCTCATTCTAGGTGGTGACTGGTTGGCATAAGTTCAAATTAAGTAAAGCATTGAAATTTCAATGACTTCCATACCCCATCACTAATTTGCACTGCGTATAAAACAGACACAGAAAGAGCTTTCTGGGGTCCCCCATTTACTTACCCAGGTGCTGTACTGGTTGTACCTATCTGTGAAGAAAATAATCCAATTTCCAAGGGTTTTTAGCGTGTCGGGGGCCAGCCGCCTCCAGATGCCAGGAATCTGTCCATTGAAGAGGGCCCGAGCCACATCGTCCAGTTCACTGCTCATTCCAACTTCCCCAGCCAAGGCCTGGAACAACAGCGACAGTCCTGAGTGCCAGAGCTGAGGCAATTAAAGCCTGAGCTGATTGCAGCTGCTTGCTGTGAGCCGCAGTAGCGGTGCTCCTACGTACGCGCTGCAGTTCAGCCAATGACTTTGCCATGCAAATGATGAGTTTATTAAAACGTTCCAGTTCCTGCAACAGCACCACAGTTGTTGGGGGCAACTCCAGTCCAAAATTTTTTCGTATCTTGCTGAGATCAAATACTTCTGGTATTTTGTTTTCTATATCCTTAGCAACATGAGCAATATATTCATCTCGACTAACTCCTGTACCAGATTCACCTGAAACAAAAACACCTTAGTGAGACTAATCTGAACAAGTATCACCTCTATTATTAATTTTTAACGAGAGAACTTTGAAGGCTGACTCTGCCTGGCGCCCACTTCTTTACCCACCCTGTGCAGCACTGACCTTTGCACCAGCAGACTCCCTGCATGCCCAGCACTTCCTCTGAGCACGTGCTGAACTACTCCCTGCTGCCAGGGCTCAGCAGCTCAGCTGCTTTCCTTCCCTCTCAGTCCCTGTTCTTTGCTGCCTCTGCTCCGTGAGGCCATTACATGTGCTGGCAGGCAGAGCCCAGCCGTGCTGCAGCAGCAGCTCCTCAGTGCCAGCCTGTGGGAATCCAAAGGACCCAGACTGCTGTGGGGCTGCAGCATACTTGGTACCACAATCCCTGCAGTGCAGTTCATCACCTCGTTAGTTCCTATTTGCAGTCCAAAGTGGTGGTGGATGTACCTGTTTGAGGCTGCAGTTCAAGAAGATGAGACCATATACCACGAACTGCCTGTGTGTAATACCCGATCTCAGCATTGGCATGAAGACCAAATACTTCTGGAGTGTTGGTGAGGGGCAGACATTCTATTGCCACTGCAACACAAAACACACCTCATAGTGATGCATACATTATGCTACAGCCACCAGAGCACACATAGAGCAAGTAGAGTTATTTTATTTATTGCTAATTTACCTAAGAGAAAGCATTGCTTACCAACAAAGTCATCTTTTACCGTCCCTTGTGGAATCCTATAATCAACCTCATCATTTTTATAGAAATGAAATGTTTGGAATGTGTCAAATATGAAATCACCAAGGTACTCATCCATATAGACAGTCAGAATGCGACGATCAAAGCTGTCAATGGCACGGCCGCCATACATGACCTAGACATAATTACACTAATTACATACCACTGGCTTTTGAGGCAGCAAACAGAGTTTAACAAAAAAAAGAACAAACACTGAAAGGTCCAAAGCATTTTGCTATTGCAGTGGCTGCGTAGTGTGAGTATAAGGCTGTCTCTCTTAAAGGCTTCCTCTAGCTCCTTCTCAAGGGAAGCTGTTCTGGGCAACTCCTGATAGCCAGTCCTGGTGAAGTATTTACATACATGCAACAGCAACTTCCTCAGTAGCAGCTCAGGATCAGCTGTGATTCAATGCTGCCAAATAATAACAACTTCCTGTAAGATTTTGTGTGGCAGCAGCTACTTTGAACCGGCCAGCTGCTGCACAGCACACAGCAAGGACAGCATGCTTTGGAAATACCTGTTTGTACAGCTCTCACATCAGTCACGGTCCACTGCACTAACAGTACTGTAAAGTTGTGCTGTTCAGTGCCTTTCCTCAGAGGATCCCAAAGGTTCTCTCAGAATTAAGCATCATCACTCCCCTCTTATACAGTTAAACACAGTGGCCCCTGTTTATTGAGGCAGTGACAAGTGACTTGCTCAGGAGTTTCAGGACTGCCCAGAAGAGATTCTGAACCATCTCTATGTTATGACACGGCTCAGGGATTATTTAGTGACAGTGTAGGTGCTCACCTCACCAATAAGATACTTGAGGCTGCTCCAGGGGATTTTATCATCATTTTGCTGGAAAGCTTTTGTCAAGTATGTGTGAAGAATTTCCATGCAGACCTAATAAAGACGTTAAAACAAGACAAGATTCAAAAATCAGCTACACACATCCATGATTTTACTTAACACAGTTCTTGTTTGAAAACTAACAATAGTTTCTTCCTCAACAAAGTGAAACAGAAAGCATACATCTTGTTAAGGAAAGAAACCCCTACGGGAGGGCTATTAAATAAATGCATTTATGTAAACAACATATATAAATACAAACATAAATGACTGAGAATCTCAATAAGTTCTGTGGCCTTAATGTGATCACAATTGACATTATAGAAGATCGTGAATCTACATGAGACCACAGCAACAACAAAACAGAGTTAATATAAATTATATTGCAAGAAAGGATTGAAGCTGGATAGATTATGTGTTTTCAAAAGTAATTTGAGCAACTCAAGAACATAAGAGTCGTTGTCATTATTTTCTTACCTGGAAATCAGATTCATTAAAATCATACGGTACGTTCCAGCCAACCTTCCCAAACTTCCTCCTCTCCTGAACCACGGCATGGAAAAATGCCAGCACATAGACCAAGGATTTGAAGGCAGGATGTGGGCACTGATCCAAGGCCTCTTTGGGAATTCTGAAG